GAAAAATAGGAAACGCGCGACGGGTTAAGCGTCGGGTATTAGGTGCATATTTTCTTCATGAACATTAACATGTTGAAGTTCTCGTCTGAAAGCGAGGCTCGTTTTGGTGTCAAAATGTCTTTACCCGAAAACAAACGTTCAACTGCAGCGCTTGAGGGTATAGCAGTATTGTATTTAATAAATTGATTTATGAATATCTGTTCCTCGAGGAATGCAGCATCGTTGAACAAGTCTTTTGAACATGTTGCCACTGTTCATCATTCACGAGTGGTCCAAATCTTTTTTCTATGTCATTTAATAAGGCATTGGCTAAAGCTATGCCGTGCGATAAATAGTAGGCAATGGCAGGACCGTGTCTGGGTATGTGGCCGCCTGCGTGCGAGCATATAAATGGCCGCCCTTAAAAATAGCATAATAGGAAAATATCCAATATGTTCTCACGAAAAAAATCTTTTTGTAATTTTCAAGTTTTCTCGACATTTTAAGTCATTTTGAATCGTTTGAAAGCCGATTTTTGAATTTTCGGCAACGTTTTCTCAAAAACGGTTAAATCCAATTCAAAAGTTTAAAAGTCATTTGATGTAACTAGATAATGACTAGCGCCTGTCAGTTTTGTGCGACGATCGGCCAAGCTGTTTCTAATCAACAGAAAAATATAAAACTTTATTGTACACGTTTTAGCCAAAAATTCTGCATCGATTTCAAAAATTCAGGAACTGTTTGAAAGATATCATTTAGGAATCGTGCTGATTAGTTCTAAGAGATCGGTCGGTTCGTTTCTTCGTGTTTAATTGGTGAATATTGCTTTACGATGATATTTATAAAACTTTTTTGGCGATAGTGATCATGGTCTCTAAGATAACTAAATATTTCGACCCACATTGAGTCATTTTAATTTTTAAAATATGTACTATCAAAGATTGCAAAAATGAGCGGCGCTTTTTTACGTGAGTCAAAATTTCATCTTTAGTCGACCTTTTCTCAAAAATGCACAATCCCATTTGAAAAATCGCCAAAATTCGTAAATTCGATAAGCACTCGTGCGCTTAGTTTTGTCCTTTAGAATTTTCAAAAAGTCTGAAATTTTTAATTAGTGAATTGATTTTAAAAATTCAAAAACCATTACAAACGTTTTCCATTTGAAAATCTTGCTGATTAATTTTGTTCAATAATCGACGAGTCGTTTTTCAGTTATTGATTAACAAATTGCTTTGGAAATTTGGATCTTGTTTTTAATTTACTACAGTTTGTTTTCTTGTTCAATAATATGTAATTTTTAAACTATTTATAAAACATAACTAATATTTTAAAAAATTGTACAAAATTGAATAATCTGCGATAGTTTTTTCACATTGCAATGTACTCATGAATTAATATATTTTCATTGTTAAGTCGATTATTAACACATGTTGGATACTTCATGCAACTTGATTTAGGCAAAGTTGCCACTTACACCAAGTTTATAACTTATAATTATTTAGAAACAGAGTCGCATTCAATAGGGCCGCCTTTGGCTGATTTTTACTACGGTAATTTTGGTCTTTTAGATATATACAGCGGACTTTACGGCAGCGAATGAGTTCAGCGGACTTTGAGCTTGGCCGCCTCTTAATCCAACAGTCTTTAATTTGGCCGCCTTTTAATTCAGTAGACTTTTAATGCAACAGCTATTTATTTCGACCATTTTTTGTTATGGCCGTCTTTGAATTTGTTCTTTTTTTCATTTGGCGGTGCACGCACTGCACGCTGGGCCAGGCACGGTCCTGGGCATTGGATTAACGATTAACGGACTTCTGGCATTTTAACGGAAGTTAACGTGTCCGTTAACATTTTCAAAAGTTAACTTAAAAGTTAATCCGTTAATCAAATGTTAACTTCGTTAATTAACGATTAACGGATTAACGAGTTAATGCCCAGCTATGTATTTTAGTATGCAAGACTATGCATGGTATTTACCGTCAAAAAAATGGTAATAAAAATCGACGAAAAAAATTTTTTTTAACACTTATTACAAGAAAACGGCCCGGCCGATTTTTACCAAATACTAATCAGAACGATTCCCAACTAATATCTTTGGAACTTTTTTGGAATTTTCGAAATCGGTTCAGAATTGCGGGCTAAAACGTAGACGAAAAATATTTCACTTTTCTGCGATTTATAAAGAAGCGGCTTGACCGATCGTCGCACAAAACAGACAAACACAAGTCCTCATCGAGATGCATCGAAAGGCTTTTAAATTATTGAAATCGGTTCAATCGTTTTTGAGAAAACGTCGATTTACGGTAAAAAAATCTATTTTCCCTTAAATTTGGTCTCATTCGGTTCAGAATGGCTTGAAACGTCGAGAAAACATAAAATTATCAAATCGGATTTTTTGAACATAAACTTTTCCGGGAAGTTACATGTGTATCAGTGTATCCATAACAATGCAAACAATTTAATTTCAATTTCCTTCGTTTCCAGATACCCCAAGGATGCCAATGAAGGACATATTCCGCCGACTGCGGCCCCTGCCCCTACACCGTTCTGGTCCTGTCACTGGCCTATTTCCTGGCCCAGAGCGCCATCAGCTACGCCACCCATGCCCTAACCCTTCTGGTAGGTCCTACCATATGCTGTGCAACGTACTGGCCCTGCTCGGAGTCGTCTTCACGTTAAAGGTAAGATTAAGATAAGAACAAACACAAACTAGTGGTGTGTGGCATCGTGCCTTAAGGCAAATTGCTGGAACTTCCCGCACCGTAATGAAATGTTCGAGGAATTTTAAACGTTTTCAAATATATCAGGCGCGCTCATATAAATTAGCAAACTCTTTCAATACGATCGACGGTCTAGGAATTCAGCTTATAATAAACTTCCACTCAATATTTCCACTTAGACAGACAAAAAATTTTCATGCTTAAGTTAAAATTTTTAAAGAATTAGCTTTTTATGACATTACTGAATTTTCTCAATTTGATTTCAATAACTATTTTCTTGAATAATCATTATCCTTTATCTATGTAGTCTAACCATTTGATCGCCTGTACAACCATGTTTTTTTATTTGCTATTTTATTAATTTAATTTTTTCACGGTTTTAAATGAGTATAACTTTCAAGCTTGTGCAAGAATTTGGAGCTTGACTGGTGGTCAAATAGACTTTAATATGATGAACATTGTATTTAATGTTCGAATGCTTTTTTTCAGCTCTTTTTTTCGGAAGTGAAATTTGTGCATCTACTATAATTATTATAAAATTACTATTCTTTTAATATTAATTATGAATAAGCTTGACAAGAGCCTAAAATAATATCTATTATTATTGATTACGGCTTGCTTATGAATAAATAAATAAATAAATAAATATTATTACAAATACTGTAACTTTCACTATTTTTGCTATCTTGTTTGTTATATCTGAGCAAATCAAATGTAAATCATAAATCAATTTATCTCCTATCATCATTTCATTTCGAATTCAATTTCGAAAAAGTGCTCCCGTATAGTCACATTCTCAACGCATTTGCAAATAATTCTATGCGACATTTTCACTTACACTGTGCTTAGCTTGGCGGCATTTTCACATTTTTCAATTTTATTATTTTCACAAAATTGGAAAAGTGCTCCAGTACATAAACAGTCTAAACGCACTTGGGTAAGCATTTGTACCAGAGTGGCGCTTAGACTGTGCTTAGTCTGGGTAATTTTTTCAATTTTTAATCCAAAAATATTTTTTGAAAAAAAATTTGAAACAAAGTTTTTTTTCCCAAAAGCAATTATTTTGTTGAAACAAACAGAAAGTTCATTTAGCTCTATATCTCCGAAACCGCTGGGCCTACCTTTGCCCAAAACGAATAACCACTTTTCCATGTCATTACGAACTGAATGTTTTTTGGATCATACAAATCGGATGATCCGTTCACTCAAACTCGATTCTATTTTTTGCACTCTTTGCTCCGTACCTCCGTGACGGCTGGACCTGCCTTTGCCTAAAACTAATCAGCACATCTCCCTATCAATAGGAATCGAATGTTTTTTGAGCCGTTCAAATCGGTTGATCCGTGCGCCCGAAAACGTGGACGAAAAAATGCGGACATAAAAAACACACACACACACATACATACACACACATCCATTTTTTCTGAGGTATGCCAAAATATTCAGAAACCTTCACAACGTCGAGAAATGCAAAAATTTTCATTTTCGATTTTCGGCCCATTACTATAACTACCCTACGGGAAGGTAAAAATATCCGAGAAAAAAGTAGTCAATAAATATTGATAAATATTTAATAACAATTGTTTTAAACATTTTCAAATAGATGATTATAATCACTATATATTTTATCGTTCATAAAATATACAGGGACGATCTTATCGCTCAGAAGACTTGAGAATGTTTACATTAGCAAGAGGTGCCGAATGTCTCCATCTGAGAATATATTTCTTACGATCAGAATAACGCATTTGAAATACATACAGTTTCAAACTGAATTGTAAATTTAAAATTCATATTTGAAGTATAAAACTATGCTTATTTTTGAAATAACAATTATTTGTCATTTTCGTTTTTTTAAATATACATGTTTTAAGTTCAATGATTGTTTTTTAATTTGTGCTATCAAAAATTTAGAAATTCGAATGTTAAATGATATAAAACTAACTAAAAATTAAACTAGAGCTTTTCAAAATAATATTAAATCAGTCTTTTTATTTTTTTTTTGAAACTATATATATAATTTCTGATTTCAAATTTTGCCGCCGAAAAACTCGCAGTTGAAATGTTTTTGATGTTGTCTATCTTGATAAAACAAAAATGGAGGAGAAATGTCAAAGTGGTTTCTGGAATTATTAAAGTTAAAATCGAAAACAAAATAATAGTAAAAAGGTCAGTGCTAGTATTATATCATAGTAAACAATAAACGAATTAGTAAATTTAATATACGTTCAAAACACATATTTTAAATATAAAATCTTAACTTTCGGTCTGTTAGTTTATTATAACCTACAAACTCCAAACATGTCTGAAGAAACAGATTCAAACAAAATAATTAAAATTGAGCCGATGGATGATTATCCTCAAGTGAAACAGGAATTTGATGATTATGAAAATACGTCAGATTTGTGCACGGATAATGATGATATATGTCTGCAGCAATTTCTCAAATCTGAGGTTACAATTGACGAGGAAATAAAACAAGAGACAATTGATGACCAAGATGATGTGACTAGTACAAACGAAAGAGTTTTAGATGAAAACCCTTACATATGTAACGAAGAGATCACTAATTCAAGTAATTTAGTGGATAGCACGAACAAATCATTTGAAAAAGTTTCAGCAAAACATAAAACAACTAGCAAGTTGAAACCCTATGAATGTGAAAAATGCAATAAAACATTCACAACAAAACCAAACTTAAAACAACACAGAAAAATCCATACTGGGGAACGGCCTCATAAGTGCAAAGTATGCAATAAAACATTTATACAGTCAAAGAATTTAAAATTGCATTTAACAGCGCATACCGGAGAACGTCCTTATATTTGTGAAATATGTAAAAAAACATTCAGAGCAAAACATGTCTTAAAGCGACATAAAATGATTCATTTTACAGATTTAAATAAATTAAAAACGCATTCATCAGTGCATAGTGGAGAATACGCTTATAATTGTGAAATATGCAATAAAGCATTCAGTTTAAAACATATGTTAAGTGAACACAAAATTTGTCACTTAGAAGAACGCCCTTATAATTGTGAAATATGTAATAAAAATTTCAAAACAAAGAAATGCTTAAAACGCCATAAAAATATTCACTCTGGAGAACGACTTCATGTGTGTGGAATTTGCAATAGAACATTTACAATGCCATCTTATTTAAGGAGGCATTTATCAGTGCATACTGGAGAACGGCATTATAAATGTGAAATATGTAATAAAGCATTCAGAATAAAAAAAATGTTAGAAGATCACAAAATGATTCACTCTGAAAAACGCGCTTTTAATTGTGAAATATGCAATAAAAAATTCAAAACAAAGCCAAATTTGTTACAACACAAAATAACTCATACTAGAGAACGTTTTCATGAGTGCAAAATATGCTATAGAAGATTTTTACGTGCAACAAGTTTGAGATTGCATTTATTAGTGCATGCCGGAGAACATCCTTATGCAACGAAACAATCACAAGAAAACAAGTAAATTAATGGAAGAGTACATACTGGAGAATCCCCTACAAGAAACAATCAATGGAACTTTTGAATGATTTATGAATCTGTTCAATCTTATAATTCTTTTCACTTACTCAATTTAAATTAACAGGATAGTAATTGCAAATTATATATTTCAGTAATGACTCTGTTTGTTACTCATCAGTGTATCATATGTAATTGTTTAATAATGTAAATATAAATATTTAAATGATTATAAATATAACATTGTAAATGTTTTGTATTTGCTGAAGTTGGAAATAAATATACATCTTTCAAGTTTTAATAGATAAAATATTTGGCATTATAGTACAAAGGTTCTTTATTAACTTCCCATAGGATATCTTATAGTAATCGCAAAAAAATCGAAAATGAAAATTTTTATATATCTTTCCGTTTCAAAGGTTTCTGAACATTTTGGCACACCTCAGACAAAATGGATGTGTGTGTGTGTGAGTGTGTATGTATGTATGGATACAATTTTTCGTCCACGTTTTCGGACGCACGGATCAACCGATTTGAATGGTTCAAAAAACATTCGATTTTTATTGATAGGAAGTTGTGCTGATTAGTTTTTGGCAAAGGAAGGTCCAGCCGTTTCGGAGATATGGAACAAAGAGTGCAGAAAATAGAAATCGAATTCTTGAGAGAACGGAGCATCCGATTTGAATGATCTAAAAAACATTCAATTAGTAATGATTGGGAGAAGTGTTTATTAGTTTTTGGGAAAGGCAGGTCCAGCGGTTTCGGATATACAGAGCCAAATGTGCAAAAAATGGCAGTTTTTGAGAGAACTAAGCGTCCGATTTAAATGATTCAAAGGTCTTTCTGCTTATTTCAACAAAATAATTGCTTTTGGTAAAAAAATTGTTTCTAATTTTTTTTTTTCAAAAAATATTTTTGTAATTTTGGATTAAAAATTCAAAAAATTGCCCAAGCTAAGCACAGTCTAAGCGCGACTCTGGTACAAATGCTTATCCAAGTGCGTTTAGACTGTTTATGTACTGAAAGCACTTTTCCTCCAATTTAGTGAAAACTATTGAAAATGTAAAAATGCCGCCAAGCTAAGCACAGTATAAGTGAAAATGTCGCACAGAATTATTTGCAAATGCGTTCAGACTGTCAGCAATTTTTAAATTTTGTGTAAATTATTAGACAACTATTTTTTTTGAAATTGAATTCGAAATGAAATGACGATTGTTAATGTTCTGGAGATAAATTGATTTATTTATGATTCACATTTGATTTGCTCAGATAATAACAAAAGATAGCAAAAATAATGAAAGTTACAGTATTTGTAATAATATATTTGAAAACGTTTAAAATTTCTCGAATATTTCATTACGGTACGGGAAGTTCCAGAAATTTTCCTCGAGGCACGATGCCATACACCACTAGTTTATTTGTTTTACTTAAGCCTTACTATTTTTGTAAAATTCTACAATATTTATTATTACTAACTTCCCAAAAAAGTTAATGGTTTTCAAAAATTCAGAAGCCATTCTTGTTTTATCTTATACATAGATTCTCTGTTGTTTTGATTGTCACAAATCTTTAATAAATATCACAGTGTGAAGGCGACGGAATATTTGAGTAAAAATACACAAAATAACATTCAAGAATAACAAGAACATTCGACGTAAAAAAACTTGGCCCGTTTATGGAAATATTATCTAATATGCATATATTTGGTATATGCACGCAAGAGTAATAGACAGAGAGCTGGGGTAATTATTGCAACTTCATAGTATTAGTACTATGAGAATGTATTATCATTAATGCAAATTTGGAGCTAGATTTATATTTATTGGAAAAAAGGACAACTTTGGTAGAGTAAATTTTTCAAATTTAAATTTTATTTTTAAATTTTTTTTATCTTAATCTATTGAATCAAAAAAGATCTTAATCTGTTAAGGTGCGTCCACACCTAACGAACGAGCACGAACGAACATGGATTTTGACATGCGCGTGGGCCGCTTTTGTTTGAAATTTTTAATCTGCGCATATTATTCATCATGTTCGTTCGTGTTCGTTCGCTAGGTGTGGACGCACCTTTAGATGAATTAATTAGATCATAATCTATTAGATTAAGTATCGTTTACATTTATATAAATTATTTTATTCCAATAGTACAAAAAGAGTTAATAAAAACATAAGGGTATGTGTTCTCAAAACTAGTTTTAGCTAGCTTTTCTTAACATTAATAATTTTGTGTTCTACTGATAGAAAATTCTTATCAAATAACTGTCAATGCAAAAGTTCCACTAGCTTTCTGTTTATAGTAAACACGGCGAAGGTGATTAATATTCGACTAACTATGGACTTGTATTAATATTAAAAACAATCGGGAAAAAATCGAACAGGGAAGTAAACATATATATTTATATATAAATATTACGTATAATTATTGATTTTTATGATAAATATAAAATATATTTAAATTCAATAGGACTAAGAATCGGTTTACATTTATTTTTCAGACCCCTAAAAAGTAAAGGTTGGCCGTCCCTGATATTTTTTTACCATTTTCATTTATTTATAATAAATTTACAAATAAAAATACATACAGCCCCTAAATTTTAACCCTCTTACTACAAACCCCTATTTCGTAATAATGAATTGAGTAATCGAATTAGTTTTCATCACATAACTTCGATTAAGATTTTGTCAAGCTTAAAAAAAGCTAAATAAAACTTTGAATGAATTTCCTGTTTTGTGTAAATAATCGATTTATTCAATTGATATTTTTCTACCTGAATACCAAAATTTCTATTCGTATAAGAATCAATGTCAAATTATTTGCAATAATGATTTTTTTTTACCACCAAATGGCAATTTTTATATTTTTTTTCTGTATTTCCGAAACTACTGAATAGGCCTTTGCGAAAATGTAATCGACTCTACACTTCATCAATACAAATAAAATGTTTTGCGAATCATTGTAAACGGATGCTCCGTTCTCTCAAAAATAAATTGCTATTTTTGCGCTTTTTTTCCATATCTCCAAAACCTGCCTTTGGCAAAAACTACTCAGCAAGTCTCACCATCAATAGGAATCGAATGTTTTCTGAATTTCACAAATTCACTCATCATGTAATTGTGTTTGAAGAACTTCATGTAATTAAAATCAACATACATTCACTGACACTGACTGCTGCTTGTATTTTTTTTTACTTTTTCGCTGGCGATACAATCTCATTCTTTGAACAGCTGTAATATCTGTATTGCACAAAAAATATTTTTATTTTCAATAACTTTAAAGATTTATAGAAACTACGAATAATATAGAAATAATTTCTAATCAATAAACTTACGTTCAGTACACGGCACAAATGTTTAATTTGTTTATTATTCTCAAGAAACAGGGTAAATGATTCTTCTGATTCATGCATTTTTCATTAAATCAAGATTTGTATTACGATATAACTTTAAAATGTTTATTTATCTATGTCGATTTCGTTGTTGATACCGGTACGCATACAACGACAGATCTCTATTCACACGATACGACGACTAATCACAATCGACCGGTATCGAAATAATCTCATCGAGAGCGAATGACGAATCATTGGCACTCGACTCTTATCTTATCTTTGTACGGATTTACACCCTAGTCGCGCCTAAAGAAGTTTTACTTCAAAAATTCATAAAAAATGGATAAGGAAAATTAGAATTAAGAAGAAGAGTAAAAATTATCCAATGTACGAATAGTTCCGTCAGCAAATCTTTATTGACTTTTAAATCTAGTATGTGTGCCAGGAAATGATAATTTAGCCAATAAATCAACAATCTCTTCGAAAGATTAATAGAGTTCACATCAATAGATTCTCATCTCCATCTCCGTCATATTCAAATGTCAAGGCCTCTTCTAATGGCGAGAGAAAGAAGCATCTTCTTTTCTTTATTGCCAACTTATATTTATTATTCCAATCGTGCTATTAATAGCATTAATAGCATTTGTGTGAATCAGTAATTTATACTTATTGGATTCACCATGATCGCTTCCTACTAGACAAGTCGTAATAAATTTCCTCATTTAATTTGTAGACGAGAGTCGGGGTAAAAATGAAATATTTAACTGCCCGAAGGAGAAGTTTATGTTTTCATAGAAAAATCCGATTCGCTAATTTTATGTTTTCTCGACGTTGCAAGCTCTTCTGAATCGAATGAGACCGACATTTGGAAAAAGTATTTTGGTGTGTGTGTGTGAACAGATTTTTTGCCGTAAATCAACGTTTTCTCAAAAACGGATGGACCGATTTTATATATTTAAAAGCCATTCGATGAATCTCGATGAGGACTAGCGTTTCCGAGTTTTGTGCGACAATCAGCCAAGCCGTTTCTTTGTAAATAGCACAAAAGTGAAAAATTTTTCGTC